GGTCTATTGACTGAAATTTTGGCATACTTCACATGTTAAAGTTTGTGATAAGTTCAGTGTATGATGAACCACTAACTTTTTTTGTATGACTAGTCAGTGATATTTGATATGCAATTGTATGCCTGAGCATATGCACGTCTGATTTCCATGGATAATATATTGTCCCGCCCCCTAATCATGATTCATTGCTTTTGAAACTTTTGCATACTTTACATGCTAAATTTTGTGTTTAGGTCCGTTTCAAGGGAATAACTCATGATAAGTCAATGGTACTTGGTATGCAGTTGTATTAGCATTGCCATTTCTAAGTTCCATGGAGGTTATTTGGCCCTGCACTTTCAGTCATGGTTCATTGACTTTGAATGTATTGCATAGTTTATATGTTAAAGTATAGCCATTTTTATTTCAACATTTGCATTAAACTATCAAATTACATAAAAGCGAGACATATCTCTGTGTTAACAGTTTATTTCAAATGTTTTATAATGATTTTGTGGCAATACTGCTGCCAATAATAATAGTATGCTTCCGTAAAATTTTAAGCCGACATATATACACAACATATGAATATAAAACCAAAAGTGGTGAAGTTGAAGTTATATCTTCGAAAATTTTACGGGCTCAATCACGAGCTGGTTGACTGTAGGGAAATATATGTCTCACAGATGCCGACGGATATGTTCCAATTTTCGTTACCAAAATTTCCATCCTCTTTTACTCGATTGTGGCATCACCGAGTTTGTACTAACATGAGCAGCACGGGTTTCACATGTGGAGCCGGATCTTCTTACCTTTCTGGAGCCACTGAGATCATCCCTGGAACCGTTCGTGTTGATCAGTATTTAATTTTCTATCATGTGTTTTGTATACTGTTGTTTGTCTGTTTGTCTTTTTTGCTATGGCGTCGCAGTTTTTCACCGACTTATGATTTTTAATATCCCTATGCTATCTTCCTTTCTTTTTTGTAAATTTGTAAAAAAATTATTTTGTGGATATTTTCAGTTTGTGAAAGTTACGACCGATTCGGTATTTTGCGTATCTGTTAACGTAATTGGACAAAACTAGCACTCTCACGACACCCAAGCTCGTCCCTTAACTTAGATATGATTGCCGTGTGTATACACGTGTTTTGGGATAACCGCCATCAGGTAAGTTCGAAATCGAGATTTTGGACAGCCACAATGTTTAACGTTTAGGAGTATATATTTCACAAAGATAAAAAAAAAAAACAGAACAACAGAACAACATAAACCGTCTATGTAAGTGTGTCATCAGTTTATTTTTTGGACGTAAGTTGATTGATGTTGTCATAACAACAGAGAACCACTACTCTGTATTTCCTGTCATTCAACTAATAAAACTGTAAGATCTAGTAATTTTGAGATAACTGATTTTTTTCTAAGCATAGTTTTGTGGTTTTTTTTTCAGACTGAGGATATCAGGTCGTTTCCTTTCTTTAATTATTAATCAGTAAAAAAAAATTTTTAGCATTTGAGTCTAATCTGTCTGCATCTCGCACGAGGAAGACAGAAGTTAATTCTACAAAACAAACATAAAGTAACATGCATTTAAATAGTTACAAATACGGCTATTTTTTCACAGACATTAAGAAGAATATATGTGTTCGAGTTTTTTTTCACCCAGTCTATTTTAAACAATATTATCATTAAACACGTATTATATCTATAAAATTGCTAAGTTAAATGTCAAACTAATGAATTCTGATTTTATTTGCATTTTGATAGCCATTAAATCATTCCCTGAAAATACTGATTTTTTTTTTATTGTCTTCGGATCACAAAATTCTTTCTTATTTGTCTGCTGATGTAATTATATTACCAATGAGTCATAACGTCTCCTAATACGTACTTCTCATAATGATAACGTCTCCTCATACGTACTTCTCATAGTGATTACGTCTACTCATACGTACTTCTCATAATGATAACGTCTACTGATACGTACTTCTCATAATGATAACGTCTACTCATACGTGCTTCTCATAATGATAACGTCTACTGATACGTACTTCTCATAATGATAACGTCTACTCATACGTGCTTCTCATAATGATAACGTCTACTGTTACGTACTTCTCATAATGATAACGTCTACTCATACGTACTTCTCATAATGATAACGTCTACTCATACGTACTTCTCATAATGATAACGTCTACTCATACGTACTTCTCATAATGATAACGTCTACTGATACGTACTTTCCATTATGATTTGCTACTCACTCCCTCAATACATCAACTCCCTCTTTTCCCGTTTATATACGATAATAATACGCTATCAATAACATTATAAAATATCTTAGCAAAGCTTTTCTTATTTTTTTGTTTTGTTTATGCTTGCATGTCTTGTGCATAACGATTTCCCCTGAAAATGTATTTTAAATAGGAATGGTAAAAAAATATAAGAAATAGGCAATTCAAATTCTATGAAAAGAAATGCAGTTAGGTGCTGCTCCTTTTTTTTATTATTGATTATCATAATACTGTACAGGTCTGAAAATGAAATGGTATTTGAGTGTATACCAAGTTCTGTAAGCTTGTATCAATCCAGAATTAATCAAGAAACGTAGAAAAGAAGTTTGTTCAGGTTATATAGAATCTCTAATTAACTACAAATTCAGATAATACCTTCAACTTAAATATCATCTCTGCTAGAAAACAAATCCGTAATGAATCTTAATCTTCTATTTCACCTATAAGACTTTTGAACACAATACAAATGGTAAATACCCTCTACTGTAATATGCCTACTCCTCTAAGTTTCCATATGCTTTGCTATGTTTAACAATGAAGTTTGCCATTCAGTTGCTTATGGAGGAAAGAACATTGACTTCCATGAGAGAACGGAATAGTTGTCTTAGAATATACAAATAAGGACATGTGGTATGATTGAGACAACTATGAACCAAAGTTCAAATGAAGTGGAAACTTGTTTTAAGATTCAATAGGCAGATCTATAAAGAAATATGTCATCAGCGATCACAGGTTCAAATGAAAAGCACTCCGACTTTGTTAAAACCCTGTAAATTATAAGTAACGTCTTAGTTTAATCATTAGTTCTTTCAACTGACGATTGCACTTATATAAGAAGTAAAAGTCCGCTGTTCCTATATGAATTTATTACTTTATCTTTATGAAGCAGTATAAGGTATAAATAGAAAAAGAAATACCAGGGTTCTTCGATTCAAACTTCTGCTGCTCTCTTCGAATAAAAAAATGGAGATATCCCACGTCTGATCCATCTAGATGAGCTAGCTATATATAGAAGCTAAGGATTAAAAAATATAATAACAAGATATCGAACTAAATTTGTTAGGGGAATAACAGTCAACAACCAGAGGCGAATACTAGCAAGAGACAAATTTAAGATGTATTGACACCATTTTTCATCTCATTTGTTAAATAAAAAACGCATAAAGACTGACATAAAAGGTAAATATTTGCAAAATATTTACTGTAATTTCATAAGTTAGGGAAAGGATACAGATTTAAGAAACGTAAGGCATAATGTTTATAGGGCTCTTTTTACGGATATAAATGATGAATATTCAGAAGGTATGACAAAGATCGGCACACGATTAGTCACAAAGATATAATGTATATAGGGCTCTTGTTACGGATATAAATGATGAATATTCAGAAGGTAAGACAAAGATCAGCACTAGATTAGTCACAAAGGCATGTACACATGTCGATAATAGACATCACTGAAAAAAAATCATGTGAATTTTGAACTCCTGACAAAAAAAAAAACTCTCCATGCTTATAGTTGTGTACGATTTGTCTACAAAAGACTCATAAGTGACACTCGAATAAGAGCATTGAAAGGCCAAATAAAGTACAAATATGAAGAGCATTGAAGTTTCCGAAAAGTTTTGCGTCGAGAGTAATCTCTTCCTGGGTTAGAAAATTCTTAGTATTATGAACAATTTAATGTTTTGTTAACAGATAATTTATCAATATGATAATTTCAATGATATCAATATATATTTCATGCCGACACAAAAGTGCTGACTACTTGGCTGGTGTCAAACATAGACAAACAACAAGGACCAATACATTCATGACAATAAACGTAAATATAAATATATGAAGATGTGGTATGATTGCCATTGGACAACTCTCTCCCAGAGACCAAATGACATAGAAGTTAACAACTATAGGTCACTGTAAGGCCTTCGACAATGAGCAAACCCATTACGTATATTCAGCTATAACATCTATCTGTATTTTGACAAGAAATTTCATTAAAAAACGGCCTTCAACAATGATCAAAACCCATACCGCATAATCAGTTAAATGGCCAAGAAGTGACAAATGTAAAACAATTCTATACTTATCAAAAGAAATACATAATAGGTAAAAATCGACTTAATATTTGTAGTTCTTGCCTTGTTGTTCATTTTTGCTGCTTAAAGCTTCTCTCTGTCTATTATAGTTTTCAAGGTTATAACCATATGACATAATGTATGATAGAACTCGAATAAGGAGTCGATTGACGATTTCAGCCATGTTGATCTATATGTAGATCTTGTCTTGTTGGTTCAATTTAGCGTATAAGAGTTTATGTCTATTTTTAATAGATAATACATAACCTGAATTTTACCCCTGTGTTCCATACTTTGCTGTTGCGGTTATGATTTTTAATCCATTTAAAATGAAATGAGGGTGGTTAGTAGATGACATACCATACATCCTTGCTGAAAAGTTTCATAAAGTTTGGCCGTTGTGGTTTCAGAGGGAAAGTTTTTTTTAAGTTTACGACGGACGACAACGCCAATCGCTAGAATAAGTTTACAAGGTGAGCTAAAAATGGGACAGAAAATTATTGAAATTAATACAGAATATACGATCTCCAAACATAACCTTCATAATATTGTTGAATAAACTATTCATATAAACAATAAGATCCACATGTACCCATAGGTGTTAACAATATTGTAATGAATAAATAGGAATTTAAATAAAAACAACAGACTTTTTATAATATAGAACATTTTATTTTTGAGTTGTACTTTTTGAAAGTACACCATTACATAAAATAGGTAGCAGTCAATCCAAACTGTCTAACAATATAGTTGACCAAATTTTGGTATTTTTAAGTTACCCATCAGGTAATTTTATGTTATTATTGTCAACAGTGGCAACTAAGAAATGATCATGGCAATAAAACGGTGGAATGTTGATTTCAATGGTGTAAATGATCCAATGAATATCCATGACTGTGATTTAGCGTACGACGATGTTCCTTTTGATGAATGTCTGAAATAAAAAAAAGAAAATAAAATCATTTAAAATTCAAATATTTCTCTTCATACTTATACTTTTTAACACATCTAGTCAGAATTTGACGACCTACGAAGCAATTTTACTGATGCGTATGGCTTATTTGATTTTTTTTGTTTTTGTTGTTTTTTTTTTTTTTTTATCTTTGATATGTTATACGAAGTCTAAATGTAATCTAAAATAAAAACATGTCTAGACTATAGTTTAGTAAGAATAAGATTATTGTTTGGTTTCAAAACTAAATTGCCGATAAATGTAATTGAAACAATGGATTACTATGAATATCTGTGAAACAGTGAATCCAGTAGGAGACTCAGGAGAACATTTCTTTATTTTTCCGATTTAGTGCGCAGTGTCGACAGATTTTGTTACATTTCATTATATATATATAAATATATATATATATATATATATATCATATCAAATGAAAAAGATTGCAGTGGGATTTTTATGGATGCATATTCTACCTTGGAATTCACATAAATACTTGTTTAACACGAAAACAGGAAAAAATACAATACAAGAAGAATTAACTTATTCCTTTGTTATAAATAGTCAGGAAAGAAACTGAAATTAAATTTTCCAATTCTATTATTTAATATGTATTTCCCCAGACTAAGTGTCCTTAACTTTATGCTTGTCGTTTTATCTTTAGTCCGTTATAACTCACAATTGTTCTGTGTTCAATTCAAGTCTAGATTATATTTGCAAATTTTAGTGAAATGAGCATTAATATTGCCATCACGTAACAATAAAATATTTGCCTAAATCAATCATGTGTTTGTCCTCTTACTCTCAAGTTCAGATGAAAATGCTACATTCATTTGACATATTATTCCTTTGGTGATGATGAATATCTTCCGTTGCGTTTGTTCACAATTAGCGGTGGAGGATTCTAGCTTTATTATTGTATAACATCCCATTTGTGTATTGATATCTATTTTATTCTTTCAGATGGAAGATATTACAAGTTTTTTTTTTTTTTGGTTTTCGACTATGTTACTATGTCAGCTTATACATTAATTTCCTTTAATACAATAAATTCATTAGAAAATAATCTGTCTTGATGCAAAGATGAATTCAGTACAAAAGAACTTCTATAATGTACATATTTTAAGAAATACCCTACTTTTGATGTTATTCCATAAACGTGGTACCAATTTGGCATACACATTGTACTTACAAAGATTAATGCTTTTTCAATTTGTCTGTCGTCCAGTTATCAAATTATTAAATCAAATTGCAAAGGTTGTTTTTGTTTTTGGTATTTTTTTTAAACGCCAACGAAAGAATTATTCAATATCAATTTTACATTGTTATCACTATTGTTTACCCCAAAATTAACCGTCTAAACATTTTGATTGTAAATATATATGATTGGGTTGATAATGGGTCAGTTTACTTCATTCACGTGTATCTACACACTACGAGATCTTATTAGCTCATAATTTTGGTTCCCACTACATAGCAATAACAGAAAGCTTCCCATAATACAAACTGATAAAACATTGCCACTAATCTTCTTCTCTTTTTTTTAATAATTTTTACTAAATTTTACTTTACATCTGGTAAGGAAATTATACTCGTGGCATAACGTGTACTTAAAAACATTTTCCAAATCTTGTTGAAAAAGGCGAATACGAGAGAGAAGTGTTTGGTTTGGGAATGTGAATAAAAGGAAAAGTGCGGTAAACGTCAATAAGACAGCAACCTAACAACATATAAACCAGCATTGTCTTGACAGATCTACATGTGTTGAGATAAAATACTATGCTTCGTCAGGAAGCTTTTACCAAGAGTTCGATTATAATGTCTTAATTTCAATGTATTCATGCTGAAGGACTGGTGATAATGGTTTGTGCCGAGAACTAATCCAGAGGTGTGAAGTAATTGTGTGTGTCTGTTTTGTTTAGTTTTTATTTTTGTTTCGTTTCGTTTTAGTTTTTGTAAAATACCAACCTTTTAGATCATATATTGAGAGCTTCACATTCAGTATGTAATTTCTTAGCCTGAAATTAAAATGCAAAATATTAAAAGTTTGGACAAAAAAGCTGAACATTTATTATCTTCAGTACCGTATAATCTAAAGACTATAATAGTATATATGACTCTGGATTTATTTTTCATTATAACATTTTTACAAGGAATATTTTTACTGTCACGGTTCGAGTGGTCAACGAAGTTAAATGGTAGATGTATCGGTGACACTTCAGTTATATCGGTAAGGGGTTACGTAAGTATTAACATCTTAAACCTTCATTCGACACTTTTTAACTTAAATCAGCAAAGATTTGGTGTAAACTATACCGGATTTCATATCCAAGGAAAAGTTAATAGATGAATGGATTCATGTTTCAATCGAAATAAGAATGCTAGATTGCGATCTTTTGGGTAGATAAAATTATTCAAAGTTTATATAAAAATAAGAGGATCTTGTATGATTACCGATGAGACAACTCTCCACCATAGACCAAATAAAATAGAAGTTAACAACTATAGGTCACTGTGAGGCCTTCGACAATGAGCACACTCATATCGCATATTCAGCTATAACACATATAAAACCGTCAGAAAATGCATCCGCATAACTCCAATCAGTTTTCCAAGAAAAATATCATCAAATGAAATTGTTCACTCTTTAAAGTAAATATACCATATATGGTAATGCTACATTTATAACGAAATTAAGTCTTGAATAATTTTGTATTCCTTCAAATTCAGTTTTCACAATCTTTCACGACAAACTTTTAGTTTATTGTATATATTTTCTCATTTTAACTGTCTTTTGATACAATTACCATTTTTGATATTCCAGCAAATTTTCTAGAAATAGAACTTCTAAATTTTATTTCGCGTATAACATGCTAAAAGACGACCGACTAGTATGTTTCGCTATGCATAAGAACATTAATGCAAATTTAATAAGGAAAACATTGATAGCTTGTTATCCCACATTACATTTTATATTCCGATGATCAAGGATGTGATGTGAACATATTGACATCAAATTGACTGAGAAATCAAATGAATGACAATTAATAAGGCATGTATTGTAACAAAGAGTAATTACTAAGAAACAATTATGGACCGGTACTGTTAAGTCCTATTCTTATCTTTATTAACGCGCGTCAATTTCTTTTAAAATTAGATATATCAAGTCACTAATGGCGCGGTCCATGGAGGATATCTCAGCGTTGAATTACCAGATTGATTGACAGTTCATGGGGAAAAGCCTAAACTCCTCTAAATAAACTTGAAAATACGCTGTCAAAGATTCAAGAACCCCGTGAAAGTCAAATAAGTTTAAGATTATACAAATATTTGACACTTTTGAAAGAAGTCATCGTTTCCATTCATCAAGAAAGGGAAGAACATATTCAATATGCAGAAGGATGATAAATTAATTTTCCGAGCGGGGAAAGACTCCTTTCAAGCCTTTTCATTTGTATGATATAATAGCTAAAAGTTCACTGATTGATATTAATTTATTGCAGATTTCAAGCAAAGAATTGAACAGAGTCAATTATCTATGATGGGATCGATTAAGGATATTTTTCATAAACTAAAAGTTTAACCTTCCCACTTTTCACCTGCTGATGTAGCTCCTCGTATTGATGAATATTTTATCCTTTCATGTTGTTTAGGATTACATTAAAGGCGAAATGAACTTGTAGATGATAATGAAGACAAATATTATCCTTTCGCGGAAATGAGAATGGCTTTGGAGAAATTTAAATTTTTTTACTACGCAGTAGCTAAATAAGCTGTTTCGGAAACAGTGGTAGAATACTTTTAAGTATATGCATGTACGTGTGAGAGAGAATGTGATTAAATGATTTGGTGTTTACAATGATAGATTTGAACAATCTTGTTTTCAGAACTGGAGGGGTACACAGGTAAAGCTAAGGAAAAATAATAGTTGTATGCATTGATTCCGTGTGTCTAAATTGATTACAGTCATAACGGTGTCTATTGAGACAAATGTAGAGAACATATTTTTCGTGTATAAAATACCGAGAAGGAAAGTCACATCCAAATTTCTGTGACACAAATGTGAAAATTTCAAGCAAACTTAGCCTGAATCAAGCTAATACTGTAGAAATTTTTGTAATTCATGCTGTTTATAATATTTATTTAGTACTTGAAATTGCCGCTTCTCATCTTATAAAAAAAAAGGCTATGATTCGTAAATTTTGAAAATAAAAAAAAAAGAGATAAACAAACATGAGCAATTTGAAATGTTTTATGAATTTTCGCAGTTCTGCACATACAGGGCGTTTGAAAGGCATATACTCCAACGTGTTTACATTACAGAAAAAGTTATAACGATGTATGTTTGATAATTTCTTCTTTTTTAAATCACATTTTTACGACAATGAAAACTTCGGTCTCTTTCAACATTCTGTAATATTTATCATCTTCACCCGGAACTCTTGTAAGCAATTAGGATTGTTTTTCTCTATAACTTATTCTATAAATATAAGAAACAACTATTTGTCTATATATGAAAGAAATGATGTACGAAACCTATTCTAAATTTAACAAAAAGGTAGGAGTAAAGTTGTCTATCAACACTAGTACCGTTTGTCGAACTGTTAAGTCATCTCAAGTACTCACAGTAACGAATTAGATCAATCAAGCTAGTTCTATAAAGAATTTAAAGGAAATTTCATTGTAGATATCGGAACCTATAATTGTCAGCTAATTAGAAAGGCTGTGATGAAACATGTATCATAATAGCCTACAAACAGTGTTCAAGTAGATATACTACAAGACTAGAAACCATAGCGATGCGATGGATGTAGTGTTGTAGACAAAGGATGTTACTGCGGAAAGTTTGATCCATTCCTTCTCATTCAGCGCTCTTGTGTTTTTGTCGAATCTAATTAAAATCACTTGTTCTGTCTAAAAAATAATTTGTTTCGATTGAAAAAAAAATATATAATATGGGAATTAACATGTTAATTAATTAGTTTAGTAGGTTTAGGATTTTCTTTTACAAAATGTGGTTTCCAAAAACTGCTGAAAGATTTGAAACAGGTTTGAGTTATCTTTGCCTTAAAGTGTTACAACCATATTCTCAGTGCGAGTAAATTTTGATAAAATTTCCAGTAAAATTGTAAAATCACAGTACGTAAATACTGGCTAACGGGATGATTGTACTCCCGGTGACTAAGTCGAACTAGGAAGGGGTACCCTCAGGGACTGAGTTCAGGATCTGAGGTGAGCGACAGTGGTACCAGGACAACATTACGAATAGTAAAACGACACTTTTGACAACTTTAGACCGAGATTGATCAGGATAAAAAAATCAATGTAAAGATACATGATATCTCATTTTGTACATTTAATGAGAACGCCCTTATAATGTTCTTTTTCTATGTCATAAGTTTTAAGTTTTACTTCAAGATGTAAATTAAATTATGGTAAGTTTGTGGAACAAAAGAAAGATTTGTTTCACGATTGATTTGTTTACCAATATCGACAGCCTTAATTATGGTGTGTTCGATCCTCTGCCGCAGGTGTTATCCCATGAAAGACTAATGAATACTGTTATTCAGTACAGATCCTATGTAGCACATTGTACAATCTAATTCTGAAGAATACAGCAATCATTGTTAGGAATCTTGTAAGACAATCTTCAACAATGTTTCAGTGAAATAATATTTCATCAAATAATACTATTGTTGTACAACGAAAGGAAAGACAGACAACACCAGACCAAAAGAACAAAAAACTGAGTTCACAAAACACTACATATAGAACTGAGGATTGAGCAAAACACACCCCGCAAAATTCAGAAATTATTGCGATGTTTTTATTAACGCGAAAAGTGCGACAGTATCATGTTCGCAATAATAAAAACTCGCATTTGTAATTTCAGTAGCGATTTTCCTGACAAGATTTTTGCCTTCGTATTAATTACATTTAGCATTTTACCCGTAATCAGTGATTCGCAATAATAAATGCACGCATTAATTTCTGAAACTTTTTAAATTTCTAAATTTACAGTGTCGGTGGTGAACTCAGATGTCCTGGGTGGATATGTAGTTCCATAGTATGCTGTTTGTTTCATTAGCATTGACGTATACTTTGTTTCAATAAAACGAGATAATATTTAAGTCGATGGTTATTAAATCCGTAATTTATTTATACAACAATGTAATAATATTTCAGGTTACACATGACTGAAGCAGGGTTAACCGAGCTTTTACATCTATAGTATCATTGTATTTTTAGAACTTAACTGGTTTTACTCTTGTATGTGGATGGAATCTCGTTAATGGTTTTCATGTCTCTATGTTTATTTTGTCAATTTGTTGGATTTAGTGTTGATTTTAAAATCGTCATTCTATTCCTGATTGATATATTGTCAAGAAATTTGGTGTTTATAGAATGTTGTATAGTTTGGTCCCTTTGAAGAACCAGAGAAGTGATGGTTAAAAAAAATCAGGAGATACCTAAGGGACAATAAAAAAATAATAAGTCAAAGACAAACAAACAATACCATGGTCATACAGAAAACTATGAAAAGACAAAACAGTCTGCAAAAATTTTAGACTGAGCAATTCGAATATTACCAAAAAACGGGTGATCTCAGGGCAAGTAGATCCTGCCCCACTAGAGGTTTCCGTCGTGTTATTAATGGCAAATTGTATTTACTGCAAAGAATTCAAACCGGTGCTAGAGCTGTTCTGACATTGCAGTGAGTTGCGAACTTTTGCTCAATTTTGGGCGCCTTAATGTGTCTTGAAGATGATAAGTAGCAATAAAAACATATATTTTATTTATTAGAATCCTGTGCTTATCTGGCAAAACGCCATGATACCAGGAGGAAATTTAATGAACAGATACAATTTTGAATGGAAATGAGGAATGTGTCAAAGAGACAACAACCCGACCAAAGAGCAAAAAACAGCCCAAGGCCACCAACATGTTTAATATATTTTGATTAAGGGATAAAAGTTCGTAATAGTAATATCAGTCACTCGACACAATGTGGAGTTTGTTTTGCTCGGTCGCTACGTTCATTCGCCAAAAAGGTTCACATTGTGGCTCGCGGCTGATATTTTACGTTATCAATGTGCAGAAAGCCAGATAATCTTTACACATTAATAGGATTTGAGATCAAATAATATATAAACTTTTACCAGATTTATACGGTATTTATCAATAATTGTTACAATATCATTATCGGTACTTTTCAGAACTCAAGTGATAAAAACAAAATAACTATTCAATTATTATCAGTCAGTGATGCTAATGATTTGTAAATAACAGCAACCTGGTTTTAAATAATGCAACTGTGAAGTTGTTGGAAATGTGATATATCCAGCATATATCCACTGTGACGTTGTTGGAAATGTGACATACAGAACTATCCTTCAAAAGTGCATCCAGAAAACGCTCTGGTTATGCATTTTTATAAACAAGGTGATAATGAGAATGTATTTCTTAATTCAAATGGTGTTCTATTTGCTGCAAATTTCCAGATCAAATATTTGGTTTTTTTTTACAACACTAAAATTTGTCTTTTAGAAAATGTTACTGATTGTGCAGTATCCGCCTTCGATAAGCAGCTATTCCTTTAGTACTTTATGGATAATTTTAAAGACAAACTTACATAATCTACATCGTATAAATTGCACATGTGCATCATGCTTGCAGATTATAACATTGAAGACAAAATAGATGTGATTGCTTCGAACATGTCTTCCGTTGGGCACAATATGTAAATTTCAGTAAAGTTTTAATTATACAAAACTTAAAAAACGCAGTTATGCACAATTGTCTGTCAAATGATGCCATTTTGAATTTAGTTTAGATAGATAGGGTCGATATTATCAAATTCGCTGTTTACTTTCATTTATAGTTCAAGAATATTCTTTTAAACAAGATTTATGTTGAGGCGGTAATATTATTCTCAATAAGAACCATTAATTCCTCACATATGAACAAGTAAGATCCTTTCTATTTCGTTTGCGGACGTCGTACCACCACCAGAAAATTTGGATGCGGATTTCAATTGATGTTTCTTGCGGTTTTTTTTTAAAAGTATTTTATAATGAAATAGTTGGTCAAACTATGAAAGTATTTGTTAAATTCGTTTGTCCGTAATATTCTGTAATCTCGCGCATATTTGTGATGTTCAGTGCACATAGAACGCGTTTTGGACGTCTTGCAAAAATTCCTCCGTTCAAACCGGTGCTAGTGGTCGTCTTAAACTTACAGATAATTAGCTATTGTTCTGTGTCAAATATATTAACAATACATTTACAAGACTAAATACAAGAAATACTATTTGTATTGCTATTACAGTGTAATAATTTATGTTCCATTACCAGAGTTTGATATTACTTCACTAAAACTATTGGGGGATTTATATGGAAAATAACTTAAATAAGAATAAACGAATACTAAAAATATTGATCATGAATTATTATGATATATTAATGCTAACTGAGATTGTGTGAGATTACACAATAGACTATCCTACATTTCTATTAGTTAACAAAACACAATAATGTTTAGTTTCTTATACAGGTGTATTCCGGGGCATTTTTTATCCGTTATAAAAGAATTTAAATTTATTTTTGAACAAGAACAATCTGGATTTGTTTTGCTTATATTTCAAATACAGTCAGTTATTCCATCTTTCGGATCTTTCACATTAATCTGTAAAATTTCCTTTTTGCAATAAAAAGTGACAATTTTTCTAAGACACGCTACTTCCTTAAGTAATGACTGTTACCCTGGTGAAACAGCATAGGTTAAAGTCAATTATGTACCGTACGGCTATTATACAATTTACGTGAAGAAACCTTTCACATTGTCTATATACATTCACTGTCTTGATGGCATGTAGATTTGTCTTGGTTTATTAAATATTTAAAACTACATGAATAACACAATCGGAACCTCTCGTACTTCTGTACATTGTAACTATAAGATAATAAAGATGCAGTTGTTCTTATCATATCATGAAGTTGTGTCAGTATTTTTGTACATTTGGAAATGCAGGTAATTAAGTAAATAAAGGGAGTACTTGAAGAGTTAGAAATCCAAATCTTAAATCATAGTACCGTTAAAAATAGGTCAGGCGGAACATTACATACATTTACAAACCATAAACAATTCTATTTACATCTTTATACATCCGATTCATAAGAAAAAAAGAACGTTTTAGTAGGCTAACAAGAGATGTATCAACTTATATACATAACAAAACATAAAATCGTCGCCCTCAAACGAGAGCATGTGCTGCACACAGGAGGGTTGGGTTGGAAAGAAATAAAAGGTGTATATTGCAAATTTCTGAAAACACAATTGCAACAATTTATTTTGCTGTATTTCTAATAAAATTGAATGAGAAGAAATCTTAATATGAACTTCTAAAACAGCGTCATAGGTCACGACGTATTTATATCTTTCGTTGTTAAATCAACAGAGCGTGTTGTCTATGTCAAGAGACAACAAAACATAGAGGTCAATACCTAAGGCATAGAGGTCAATAGACCATATTAGCTTCCATTTTACTAAAGGAGTTGGCTTATAACATGCAAACAAATTTTGTTTGATTAAGATTTCCATTATTCTTGAAATGAATTCGCCAAAGTTACAAGAAAATAATAATTATAATGATAATATGTGAACATAAAACATATAAATCCGTGCACATTTCATTTAAAAAAAAACAATTCAATACAAGAATCTAAAAATAATTACCTCATTGAGTAATTTGTATAACTGTAGAATTTCATCTTGCAAATCCATGCACATATTTGGTCCTGAGCGCTTTCCCCATCCTGGTGATCGTTTGCCCCATCCGGGTCGTCGTATATCAACTTTAAAAGTGTCAGACCGTTTCCCCCATCCAGGTCGACGTTTTACTATTGAGTTGTATAAACTAAGATCGTCAAGAAGAGCTGAGTTTCTTTTGCCCCAACCAGGTTTTCGTTTTTCTACATCATATAATGAACTGCCCCTTTTACCCCAACCAGGTCGACGTTTTTCAATTTCTTCGGAATCGTACAACATATCACTTCTTTTCCCCCAGCCTGGTCGTCTTTTATCCAAATTATTTAAAATATCATCGTCAAAACTTCTTTTCCCCCAACCCGGTCGTCTTTTTTCAGCAGTTAAAAAGTCAGTGTTTGTGTCATCTATGGTATCTATATCTCTTTTCTTTCTTTCACTCGACTCATCGGAAGACGAAGCTAGAATAATTGTTCCTAATAATGAAAAAATAACAAGAAAAATATTTAAAGTTTCCATAGTTCCCCGTTTTCTTCAAAGCAAACAAAAGTGACAGAATACTTAACCTAGCTTGTATTTATTGTTTAGTAAGATCACACGTCATTTGAATAGCCATAATTTGCTATGGTTGCGAAGACCAATGATGAGGCTTGTAAAATTATCTATGTACTGTAGGCGTTGTATGATCAATACACTAGATTCATCAGATCATATCTTCGCAACATTTCAATTAATGTCTGATAAAATCAAAATTAATATGCCAGAAAATTTAAGAAAAAGAACATAAAAGTTTTATTGTTTTTATTCCTTGGGTTCACAATCTTGAAAAATTGCAATATCTGATGGAATATTTCTGGTTGCAGAATGCCAGGAATAGTTGTTTGGCCAGAATTTATGTTTCCGGTTCTCGGTTAATTCATAATTTCTGGTAATGACAAGTTCAATTAAAAAGTTACAACCGATACTCCTCCAACTTTATCAATAATTAGGCTTTCTTTATAGGTGAATATGTCATTAGATGATAATCTTTAAACAACTTAGATTCAACAAATAAAAATTCGCGTAAAATGCCGACTCATCTAATTCTCAAACAATTTTAAGGATCAATATCTTTTATGGATTGCAGGGAGTAGCACCAATTATTCTAAAGTTGTTAAGTACCTGTTTGTCTTGAAGCGGTAGTTGTTGTTTATATATATATTATCGGAATATATTATCAAATTATTAAATTAGCCATTCATATAAATAAGAAAAAATTACAATTATATAAAAATGAGGATGTGGTATAATCGCCAAAGAGACAACTCTCCACCAAAGACCAAATGAAGTAGAAATTAACAAATATAGGTCCCCTTCAACAATGAGCAAAACCAATACCATATAGTCAGCTATACAAGGTCCCGAAATTACAAATGTATAACAATTCAAACAAGAAAACTAACGGTCTGGTTTATGTACGAAACAATACAAAATAAATAAACATGATTAACAGCAACAAACCGCAACATCTGAATAACAGGTTCATGACTTGGGACAGGCGCATACAGAATGTGGCTGGGTTTAATATGTTTTGGGACGTCCAACCCGCCCCCTAACCTATATACAAAAGACACAAAGTACAGATCGAAGAGTACTCACAGTCACTAAAAGCTAGTCCAAAGCCAATAACAACTAATAAAAAATTATGTATCTTAGGCTAAAATACCAATCAGTACACACCAAACATCTAATGGATTTAGTGGACGTCATTACCCTTGTGCAATGCCAAAATATAGATACCGACAGAATGTAAGACCGTGAGTGTTCATAGGTATAAAGCAATGATATATAGTTGGGTTTTAATTCAATGATAACAAAATCAAAATTTATACTGATAAAAACAATATTCAAAGATCTAATTACAGTGTTGAATTAATACCCGGAATTAATAACCTTTTAGAATATGTTTATTAGTTAATTACATTACAACTTGATTGCACTCCGGATTCCTCCACCAATAAAAACTGACCGCCATGAAATAGCCAACAGCGCTGAAAGTGGCGTTAAACATCAACCAATCAATAAAGCAGTCAATACAACTTTATTGTAAACATAAACATATTTCAGAAAGCAAAATGAACGATAAAACAACTTATTTGGTCCCTTGAATTCGAAATTCATAAAGGATACTGTTTTCCTGTTTGAATTGTTTTACATTAGTCTTTTTGGGCCCTTTATAGCTTGCTGTTCGGTGTGAGTCAAGGCTCCGTGTTGAAGGCCGTACTTTGACCTATTATATAAGTGTGTACATTTTACATATTGTGACTTGGATGGATAGTTGTCTACTACATCTTATTTATATATATATATATCTATCATATAAGATTCTTATGATGTTTACAAGACTTGAACTTTCATATATCAGTGGTAATATTTTTTGAATTATGCCTTGCATATTTGTTTTAATGCTACTACTTACCTCAAACTCCTCCCCTAAAAAAAACTCATTTTGAGAGGTTGTCATTAATATTTGGATATGAACCAAGGTCTTGCTAAAAAGAAATGTTGATAAAAAATGCATGTCTTACAAGATGTTAATGTATGTTAAATATCGTTTCAGGTAAGGCTTTGGTTCATATAACCTAAATAATTCAATCGTTATATTCCGCTGCTCTGCGATGGCTACATTAACCAACCTCGCAATTGGAAAAGTCGATCATGGGGATGGACTGAATTATTCGGGTTATGGTTAATTTTGAATTTTGCAAAGAAGAAACTATGTAAACAAATTGTCATTTTATGTCAAGTATTTCTATTTAAACATCATATTTATGTCATCACGGTGACATCAAAATGACATTTTTTGCACTAAATTGTAAAGATTATATCTGACTATTCTCCAATCAATAAAGCTAACATGATTATTGGAATGATTGACGGGTTTTACTATTTTTTGGCACAATCCAAAACATAGCTCTTTAATATCATTTATACACGTCCTTTGAAATGCATGTAACCGACTTTGATTTGCATTTAGTACAATATAGTCATTCTAATCATTCACTGTATAATTATGACATGATAAAGGAGAAGGGACATTAAGGCCAATCATTGACCCAATGATATGAAGTTTTATTACTTTCACTAGGCTGATGCTTTTGCTTTGCTGGCGGACTGCTAGTCCCCAAATGTATCACCAGCCCAGTAGCAAGTACTTCTGTACTGGCATGCAAATACTAATATTGGGCTATTAAAATTTGTTGTAGCACAATTTTGGAAATTATTTTAAATTAAGGAATATATCACCTCAAGCAAAGCTCTTGATCTGATTCCTTCATCGTCTTTGGCTATACTTGTGATCCTTTTTGGTTTATATGCTCTTAATTTTGTGAGTTTTGTGATTTTCAAATAGCTTGTCTTCTAGAATCAATGAAGAGACATGTACTGTCGAAATGCGCAGTAAAATTGTTACCGTTAATGTTATTGAAGATAAATATTGTTATCATTATATATTCAACTATTTACGTTTCTTTCACGTCAGTGAAAAGAACTATATTGATGGTTTTCAAGATTGTTAGCCCACGTAGCTATGTAAACCAATCCTATACATATTACATGAAATTTTAATTGCACTATTATGCATCCCAAACTGACCATTTATATACAGGTAATTTTCATTATTGAAACGTTCCAAAAATTTAACGACATTTTCATTGATCCTTCTCGTTATTGATGAACGATTTGTTCAAAAGGATCCACATTAGGAGATAAGTAAAATCGAGAATGGAAATGGGGAATGTGTCAAAGAGACAACAACCCGACCATAGAGCAGACAACAGCCGAAGGCCACCAATGGGTCTTCAATGCAGCGAGAAACTCCCGCACCCGGCGGCGTCCTTCAGCTGGCCCCTAAACAAATATGTATACTAGTTCAGTGATAATGGACGTCATACTAAACTCCAAATTATACACAAGAAACTAAAATTGAAAATGATACAAGACTAACAAAGGACAGAGGCTCCTGACTTGGGACAGGCGCAAAAATGCGGCGGGGTTAAACATGTTTTTTGAGATCTCAACCCTCCCCCTATACCTCTAGCCAATGTAGAAAAACAAACGTACAACAGTACGCACAGTAAAACTCAGTTCAAGAGAAGTCCGAGTCCGAATGTTTGCCATTGGGACAAGTATCCACCAGAGACTAAAGAGCTAAGGTGTTAGCAAATATTGGTCACTTTACAGCCTTCCGTAATGAGAAAAATCAATATAGTGAGCTATAAAAGGCCAAATCATGAAAAATGTGAAACAGTTAAAAGAGAAAATATGGCAGACACCAACCAACGACAACAACTAAATTTCAATTCTTCGAATGGGACATGCGCATAAGGAATTTGTGACGGGGTTAAACATGTTTGTGAGCGCTCAACTACTCTAAACTGGGAAAGTAGCGCAGCAGCACAACATAAAAACAAACTTAACAAATCAATTGGAAAAGGCTTGATTTATCAGATCGACTCAAAGCACAACGAAACATATAGACAAGAGCTCAAAGTACCGATCTAAGATTACTGGCAGTTACTGAAAGCGGAAAAGGCTTGATTTATCAGATCAACTCAAAGCACAACAAATCATATAGACAAGAGCTCAAAGTACCGATCTAAGATTACTGGCAGTTACTGAAAGCGGAAAAGGCTTGATTTATAAGATCAACTCAAAGTACAACAAATCATATAGACAAGAACTCAAAGTACTGATCTAAGAGAGTACTGGCAGTTACTGAAAGCTTGTTCAAAGCCTTAACTTATAAGTAAACCATAAGGTATGTTTATAATGTTTCGTGCAATTTTTTCGATTTGTCACGGTTCACTGAAATCGGAAGAAATTTAGTCTGAGTTTTCTTCTATTTCGCTGTATAAGCTCTGGAAAATTTAACAGCTCGAAGAAAGGGTAAGTTTAATAAAACAATTCAAAAACAGGTTTATGTAATTGCCAAATAAAGAACAGAAGATGAACTACTCCAACGTGACCAATAAGGTCAACTATACAATGTCACGTACGTGACTAGATAATATCACGTGATGACACTTTCATAATACTGTCAATTGGAAATATGAATACTCGCTATAGACTCGCTATAGATGATATGAAGTAGTCCTGTTACAGTTTAACTAATTGATTATAAAAGATAAAAGTGTATTTGAAACAATGTATAGTTGTTGTAACCTTTAATTAAAGTTAGACTTTAAATACTGCTGGGGAGGATACCGTTTTAGTAACATGATCTTTTATTCATAAGCAATATTTAGTTTACTAATCTGTTAAAATAACAGTAGAGTTGGTTGAATTGTTATCATATACACTTTATCACGTATTACCATCATTGCGATTTGACAATTTTGGAGGGAGTAATTTGACTTTGAAAACTTTTGGCCTATTATCACATAATGACAACTATTAAATACTGCTGGGGAGGATACCGTTTTAGTAACTTGATCTTTTATTCATAAACTATATTTAGTTTACTAATCTGTTAAAATAACAGTAGAGTTGGTTGAATTGTTATCATATACACTTTATCATGGATTACCTTCATTGCGATTTGACAGTTTTGGAGGGAGTAATTTGACTTTGAAGTCTTTTGGCCTATTATCACATAATGGCAACTATTAAACGTTAGCTCTAAGATCGTTTGTTCAAAAATGTTTTTACTTAATAGGATTGTTAGTCATTTTGTCTACACCATACTATACCGACAATTAATTTAACATTTTTTAGGGAGTTATCAGACTTCAACCATTTGTTCCTATTGTATTTTTTGTGGAATTCTGTTTAATCTATAGTTCTATCTGTACATGGCGTATTTTTAACTGTTCTTTGTGTGAGTAGTTTTTTTGTTTTTTGTTTTTTTTTTTTGTTGTCGGCATTTTTTTGGTTACTGTTGTTTTAATGACTTTGTTTCTTTTCCACTTTTGGGACGACCTGGTTGATGCCCA